AGTGTATTTAGGGTCCATGCTCTTGCTTTTCATTTTCCTTCTTTCTGTGTTTCCCCTCTTTGTGGCTAGAATTCCTTTTCCTGTGTCAATTAAATCATTCCTATCCAATAACTAGCTCCAATGCCAACCCTTTGGGAAACCTGTGAGATAACTACAACCTAAATTAAACTCTCCCTTTCTTTGACTATCTCCTGCAATCATTATCTGTAGCAGGCATTTAGTATTCTCATTTCTGCAGCAAAGCCTTGCTCCCAAAGTATGCAGCCTTGTGTTGGCAATGTAGAAAACCTCTAAGTAATATATCGGGTTCAACTCAATACTTAAGGGGAAAAACAGTTATTGTTTTAATTCATTAATAAGTTAACTTTCACTTCAAAATCTGGTGGGATTTCTATTTTCTAGCATTACATTTTTTTCCCATTTTGCTCTTAATGAATTAAGCACCATAACCTCCCACTGTGTGTTTAATTACTGTACTGATTGCATACTATGTATGTGATGTGGAAAAAAGACAAAACTTAAAAGCAAAGCACTCTCCTTGACCTCCCTGGGGATAAATATCCATAGAAATATTAGAAAACACATTTAATTCTACATGTCACGAGTGCCAGGTGAGTAGTCTGGATAACTGCACAGCCCCTGAGGTCCCATGTGAATAGGTAATATGCCTCATGCCAGCAACAGCACTTCCTTGACCTGAGACCTTGACCTTTGGCCATGTGCTTGGAAGACCCTTCCTTGGCACTACCTTTATTCATTTTATACCTAACATTTCTTTATATTTCAGGACCTCTCTTAGAAAAATTTTTCCTAAGCATGCATTTTTTTCTCTTTTCTTCCCCACCATCCTGTAGAGTCATTGTCTGCTCCTCTCATAAAATTTTACACAGTTTACCTAAATTGCTTTTGGGGCCTTCTCATGTCCTAACTTGTAAATATATATTCATTTCCCAGTTTTTATTATTTAAAATAGAGTTTTTTGTTTTATGATGATAACAAAAACATGCTTACTTTTCAGTACAGAACTTTTAGAAAGTGCTCATGTATTAAAAAGATCACCCTATCTAAGTGTTTGTTATGTGCACCTCTGTGTCAGGCCATCCAGAAAACAGTGGATCAGAGAGCTGAAGACCTGCCCCGCCCTTCGACTCATGGACCAGTTCAATGGTAGAGTCAGGAGCTGATGGGTGGAGACAGTGCCATCTAATAATGAAGCATTCTAGAATAAAGGAGAGACTTGAAAAACAGATGGGAATTCATGGGAATATTAAGCCCCTCCTGCTTTTCTGGATGTTCATCCATATAATTTTTTAAGATAATAAGGAGCTCTATAACAAATATACTTACCAAATTACCTTCCTAGAAATAGGAGATGATTTTTGAATTTTAAATATGTGACAAATTATTGCCATATATTATAGACAATTCAGTGTAGTAGACTTTCTTAAGTATGATGCAATTTTTTAAATTATGGGGAGGTTCCAAAAATGTTGGTTGAGAGTTCCACATCTGATTGTAAGGCACTCCCAGGTTTTTTAAAGACATTGCGTTCACAGTTTGCAGTTGATCTTATCCATTATCTCATTCTCACAAATGTCCCATGTTTTTCCTTCATAACAAAACACATGGCTGGATTAAAGCACACAGTGTCTCCTGAGGGCCCAGAAAGAAAATAAGGACTTGCATCTTATATTTTAGTTAACTTCACTTTTTAATTGCATTCTATTTTGTGTGTTTGTAACACAACTTACATGTTAAATACTCAACACATATATACATGTACACACTTATAAGCAGATATGCAAATAGGGGAATATGTCATCCCAAATTACTACTCTCTTTGTTGGGCTACATTTGGTTGTAAGAGAAAACCTAACAGTGACTTAGATACAATATTCTAACTTATTTTACATGTTTATAGATGGTCTCAGAGTTAATAGAATAGCCTAGTAATTTTATTAAGGTATTTTTCTATATTTCCATCCATATGTTTGGCATGTTGCCGTACTAGCATAAAATTTCACCTCATGCTGGATTCTATTCACCTTGCCCTATGCCTGTAATTTTAGGTGAGTAGTGCTGTATGGGAGTCATATGGTGAAAGGCTCAGGTGAATGCTAAGATTTCAAATTTATTTGCATTACTTTTGTTTACTTATAGAAAGATTAAGCACAACACTCCATTATTTATTATATTAAGTTATTAAACTAATAATTCCATTTTCTTTTAACCCAATCCATTTATTGTGAAAGTTAATCAGGTGCATTTAAAATAATTTTGATATTCTCTAAGCTATGGAAATAGAAAAACATTATATGTTAAGCCTGACAATCTCTGTACTCTCTACCAACTTGGATGGTTACAGAGACATTCACTTGGCTCTCTGATCCTCTGATAATGACAATGTGATGAGAAAAGCAAAAGCAGTTGGTAGAATGGGGAGGTAACCACTGGAGCTAGTAGTTGTCAGATGAAACTAATTGATTGTAATTGCTTTTCCATTGTATTGCTCTTGGAGCCTGTAGCTTGTCAAAATCACTGATTATAAACAAAGGATCTCACTTTTTATGATGTAGGTTATGTTAATGAAGAGCTGTTTTTAGAAGAAATGATCAGTGAATATCAATAAATAGATAATAAGAAATTAAAGGAAAACTTAACTAGCTTGATTGTGAGTTAATATACTTCAGCAGTCAGAGTAGCAGTCACCTGTGTGGTGTTCCATACTGAATCTTTTGCTTGCAGCTCTTGAATTTTAAATATTTCCCATTGAAAGAGAGATTAAGTCTGTGTAACTATCTCATACTTTCTTGAATAACAAATCTTCCCTGTAGAGATCTCTTGGAAAACAGAAAATATGTTTGTTTTACAGGGCTCTCATTTTTTGATGAAACAATGACAGGCAGGTATTTTGAAGTGGAAAAAATAAGTTCCTGTTGTATTGCCAAGAAATTATATTAGAAGTGAATTTTTCAATGCTCATAGAATATGAGTAGTATATGAGTGAGCATCTATCTGAATTTGAAAGCAATGTTTGCTTTTGCAATATTCAATTTTAAAATGAGTATACTAAAATGATAACATTAATGTGAAATTATACCTAACATTTTATTGTGGGATATGCATGAATTTTCACAGGATTGCAATGTCTTTAATGATCATATTTTTCATAGTGGCATTTAAACTGTTAGTGATATTAGAGTGATCACATTTATTGAAGATTTTCTACTGAGCACCAATTCTGATTAAGGCTTAACCTCTGTCTGGCCTGAAGGAAGCCACGGACTAAAGAAACAAATAAATGTGAACAAATGGTTACTTGCAGCAATAAATGCAGTGATGACAGCAATAAAAGTTGCTGCAGGGACACAAGGGGAAGATGATGGCAGCTTTGAAGGATTTTGGGGTGTCTTCCAAAAAGAAAAAAGATGGTCCAGGAAAAAGGAGCAGTGTAATGGTTTCTGGTATTTGGGGAAATAAAGTAAGAGTGAGAAATGAAGTTGTGTGTTTTAGTGTGCAAGAAGATGAAATGAGACAGACAAAAGTCCACGTGGTCTATGTCCTTCTTTGCTCTACAGAAGAATTTTGAGTTATTCATATGGGAATAGTGCCCACTAAGGAGTGTTTATGTTGGGAGGACATGAGTGAATTTCCTGTTTGGTTAATGCCTCTCATTTTGCATGGTGATCAGGAACAGGCTCACTGTGACCTCGAGTTAGTAAGCAGGTGCAATAGCCTGTGCATAGATCTGTATTATTAATATATATCTATGAAAAGGAAATTAAAAGAGCTTACCTGCCAAATCATTTATTTATCTTTGACTTTTAAGTATATTTTTATTGAATGTCACAGTGGAATTGGTGCTAATACTTAGTTGCTTAAAACTCTGAAACTGGAAGGTCTACATGTGATTTTAGCATCCGATTCTAGCAGGTAGCACATAGTTATAGATTTGTATTTGGGAAGTAGATGTAGACATATACCTTAATGGAAAAAGTGTAAGTAATTGTGATTTTAAAATACATGTTTACAATAATGCTAAAAGTCACAATAATTTGGTCCTGTTAAATAATTAGGAGAAACAAAATTTCACAAAGAGATTCTATTTTAAAATTTGGAACATCTGCATTTTAATTACATTATGAACGGAGAAACTAAAGGAATAATTGCCTTGGCTATTAGCCAATTCCAGCTGTAACTAAAAAGCAAACATAAACAAGCAAAATAACCCATAGAAACTAACATTGGTTTTCATAAACAGTCACAATATACATTGATCAGATGTTTAATTATATCTGGCAATAATAAATGGAGGGAGACATTGTTTCGATCCCTCATACAACACATTTGCTAAAACTGATTAATGAAAGCAGATTTGACTACAGGATCACTCAGCTTTTACTGTGTGTCATCAAATAAGGAGTGTCTAATGTGATTTCAGTTGTTAAAATCTAGTGGAGAAATAAGGCAATTGAATACAGTGATAGTCTTAGTCCAGGCTGCTGTAATATAGACTAGGTTACTTATAATAAACAGCAGAAATTTATTTCTCACCGTCCTGGAGTCTGGGAAGTTCAAGATCAAGGTGCCTGCAGAGTCAGTGTCTATTGAGGTCTTCCTGGTCCATAGAAGGCCATCTTCCTGCTGCTGTGTCTTCACATGATTGGAATGGGCAAGCCAGATCTCTGGGATCTATTTTATAAGGGTACTAATCTCATTCATGACCTAATCACCTCCAAAGGCCCTCATCTCCTAATACCATCACATTTAGAATTTGGTTTTAGTATATGAATTTGTGGGGGCACAAACATTCTGCCTATAATATGGTCACATCCAATTGCATTTTTTTTCATTACAGGGAAAGGTTTATCCAGTCTGTCTAATGTTTCCAAGGTCACTGCCCATCAGAGGGCCTCAAAGCACAGATTCAGGCTAGTGAAAAGAGCTGGTGGTGTCCGAATGCACTATTGACAGCATTTCTCTGTGTGCTTCCCTGACAGATACGACAACATATTCCACTGAGCGATCTGAACACTTCAAACCCTGCCGAGACAAGGACCTTGCTTACTGTCTCAATGATGGCGAATGCTTTGTGATTGAAACCCTGACTGGATCCCATAAACACTGTCGGTAAGCCACTGCAGCCACGGGCACTAAGGGCAGGCCCTGGGGGGCCTGGTGGGGGGAGGGGATGTTGAGCTCTGCGAATACACAACGTGATACACACAGTCCAGCTGTTTGAATGGTGGAATCAAGATTCTTGATATAAGAAGGGACAAGGCTTATATCTTTGGTATTTGAGGAAGATAAAACTAAGTTAAAATAGACAAGATCTGAGTTTTACATGACCAAGTAAAGGGTGATTTACTTTTAGAACTATACCAACTTGATAGAAATAATTATTCACTCACTTTAGAGCCTATAATTTTGGTGTGGGTGTTAGGCACATGTGCTCATCTCAGAAGCAATCCCTTCTTGGAAACCTACAGGCTGCAACATGACAGAGAATACCGCTCATCTGCGATCTAACATCTCAATGTTTATTATGTACCAAATCTCAGAGACTATTGCTGAGTCCAGAGAAAAATGAGTCTAATTTTGTTTTTCCCTCATTTATTAATTTCAGGACATTCTTTTTAACACCTCTGGTGATGGAACACTCTCCAGCAAGATGTTGTAAATGAGATCATAGTTCTGTTATGTTCTATGTAGAGAACTATTTAGGGAAAATTTCCAGTAGAGATCAGGAAGGTGTGTAATTGGATTTTAGAGAGTTAAGGTTATATAACTGTTAAAAATAAAAACAAGTAGAGATCAATGGTATACCTACAGACACTGCAGCTTTAAGGCTTCATAAAATAATCAAATGAGCATCTGAAAAATATTTCCCATCAAGCTTTTACTTCCAGCACTATCCTGGTAATTTGTGTCTTCAATTGTATATGCTTCAGTGATCATATATATCCACACCCTTTTCTCCTCTCTTTATTTACTCTTCTCATATGACACAGCTATTAAATTAATTATTCCAAATCATGAAGCATGGAAAATTATGACTTTTTTCTCCCTCTGTTGCTATTATAAAACTTTACTCCATGTTGTTTTATTAAGATGCCACAGAGAAATTCATTATATAGTTATGAACTTAGAGATGTGTTGGCAAATCCTGCCCAGCTCCCAGTGCCAGCTTTACCTCAAGGAGGATGGGTTGCCACAGTGGGAAGTCACAGGTTGGGAAGAGCTGGTAAGTGACAGCAGCAGATCTCTGTAAAAGTTATCACACCTCCTGTGTCAGGTTAAGCAGCTGTGACCTTCCCACCTTGCATGGTGTTTTTGTGTGGCTTGGGCAGTGTCACTACATTTGCCCTATTTATGAAATGTACCCCAGTTCTGTTCTCTGTGAACTTGGACTGGGGATGAAGGGATTGGGAATGGTTCCTCCTCATATTCCTCTTCTCTAACCACCTTTGTTTAGTCAGCACGGACGCAGATAGGAAACACACAAGTAACTTGGAGACCTCAGGGGCAAAATCCCTAATGAGCCACCCTTTCAAAGTATGAGGTGCTTGCACATTCCTACACACGCTCAAGCACTTGTTGCAGCTACCTGTGCCAATCCCATGTGATCATGAAGTGGAAGTGGGCAATGGGATCAGTTAAGTTTAAATCCCTAATCAGTTGACGATGGGATAAATCAGAATCTTACCTAGAGCATGGACTTTTCTGATGGTGGTTTACCCCAAGGAAGGGGTCAGATCAGGCCCCACAATAAGATGCAGTCTGGTATGATTCATTTCTTCTAAAACTGGGATGTTGAAAGGATCAAATCAGTTTTGTTCCTTTCAACTGATGTTGAAAAGAACAAAATAATTCTTATTTTTTCAACATTCTTTCTCATTATGTTCTGTATTATTTTACAGCCATATTAATTTGCTTGGACTACTGTAACAAAGTACCATAGAGTGGGTGGCTTAAACAACCAAAATCTATTTTCTCACAATTCTAGAGGCTGGAAGTCTAAGATCAAGGTGTCAGGAAAGTTGTTTTCTTTCCCAAGGCCATGAAAAAAGGGTTCCCTTCCAGACAGGCCTCTCTCTCTTTGGCTTATAGAGAAGGCTGACCTTCCCTCATGTCTTCTAATTTTCTTCAGTCTGTATGTGTCTGAATCCAGATTTCCTCTTTTATAAAGATACCAGTTACATCAGATTAGGGTCCACTCCCTATTTTAATGTAATGACCCTAGTTCAACTTTACCTCTATAAAAACCCTTTCTCCAAATATGGTCACTTTCTAAGGTACTAGAATTTAGACTTTCAGCAGAAGCATGATTTGGGACACACAGTCCAGTCTATAACAATGGATCTCAGGTCCACATAAAAATCTTTTGTTTCTGTACATATGTACATCTTATTTTTTAAATAAACACAGGCAGAAATATGTATGGTTTAACTGGAACAATATACATGTAAAAAATTTTGACCATTTGTCTTAATATTTTTTGCCTATTTCATCACAGTCAACCTGTTATTTAACATAGTCACAACATAGCTAATCATGACAAAAGAGCAGCCTAAGACAGAGTTGTAACTCAAGTAGCTTAATAGAGACCTATAAATCTCCTACTTGTGTGCATGAATAAATCACACATTGCATGTGCCTGCTATTCATCTCCCAGGCTTTGCAGTGAATAAAAGGCTTACATTTGTTCCTGCATCAGCCACTTCTAAGATCTCCAATGTGGTTATTAATAATGTGCCATTTTGTGCAGCACTCTATATAAGTAATATGTTTCATTCATTCTTCTCCTTTTGACAACTGTTTATTAAGCACTTCCTATCACCAAGACACTGTAGAATAAATACATACAGAAATTAACTTAGGAATTAAACGGCACTGTGTTTTGTAATGTACTTGGAATAAGTGAAATTCTTCATCGTTAGGAAATAGAGAATGCAAAGGAAAACATTTTTGTATGACTGGCATGCTACTGGAATATCTTTTATGATACATTATTAACTAGATTACATTTCCAGTGAAATGAAACACAATGTCGTATAACAGAGCAACAATATAAAGGGGTGTAAGTGAATCTAGCTCATTAGTTTACTTTATACGTGTCTCAAAAGATTAGACATTCACATCTGAGAAAAATTAAGGTTATGTTTTCTAGTACTTTAAAAATAAATTGTAATCCTATGATAAATGGATCCAAAACTTTTTTCTATGTCATAAAAAAGTGATCATACTCTCTTTTCTGTCTATAGGCTAGGGGAAAATAGGAGCAAAACTAGTTAGATTATCCTTGACAAATATTCTGGAAGATACACTAAAAAATGTGAACATTGCCAGTCTTGGGATAAGAGAGGTTTCATGTCTTTCTGTTTCTTATTTTCTCACATTTTAATGTATTTTCAGATCTTTCACAAATTCATGTACAGTTAGAAATTATAGAGCAAACTAATGAAAACTCAAGGAGAATACAAAGATTCTAAGAATAACTGGGCATTATGCTAGGTGAAATAAACCAGACAGTGAAAGACAAATAACCATATGATCTCACCTATAAGTAGAAGCTAATGAAGAACACAAACAAATGAGCAAAATAGAATCAGAGACATAGAAATAAGGAACAAACTGACAGTGACCAGAGGGGAGGAGGATAATGGGGGAAAGAAGGGGAACAGTCTAGTCAAAGAACATGTATAAAGGACCCATGGACAAAGACAATAGGGTGGGGATTGACTGTGGGAGCAGAGCGTGGGCAGGGATCGAGAGAACAATGGGAAAAATTGGAACAACTGTAACTGAACAATTTTTTTAAAAAAAGAAAATTTGAAAAATAACTAGGGGCATGGTGGGGTAGAAATGGAGACAACTGTATTTCAATGATAATAAAAATAACTGGGCAGAGGAAATTTAAAGAACAATAAATAAATAGGCTAAGTTTGTCTTGCTCAATGTAAAATATACTATAAAGTCATAGATCGTTAGCTGACCGATTAGTCTGGCATACAGAACCTGGCATACAGTGAAACTTATTGTAGAATAAGAGGAAGTTCATAAACAGGAGGAAAATTGAGAAAATGATCATTGAATAAATTTGGTTGACTATCAGTTGAAACAAATCAAAATAAGATTTTTACTTTCTTCTCTATACCAAAACTTATTCTTTATGAATTCAAAAGTTAATATAAATAATAAATAAATAAAATCTTAAGGGAAACAGTAAATAAAATTACACATTTATTTATGTCGGCAACTGAAAGGACCTCTTGAACTAAAATTAACAACATTGGGGGGATGCTGGGAAGATAGCGACGGGGTAGGACAAAGCTGATTCTAGCTCCTGTACTCATGGGTGAAAATCCTGGCAGATCTATAGAGAAACAGCACAATAAACCATCAGTTACCCAGCAATTATGAAAATAAAAGACCAGAGATTGTGACCAACGCTGAAACACCAGAGAGCAGCAGAGTCAGCTACTGGAGCTGGGACACATGCGGCTCCTGTGCTGCCCCCATAGCAACAGGCCTGGGAGCCAGGGAGTCAGGTACAGAGCCGGACACTCCAAGCCCCTGTGATGGTCCTGGGCAACAGAAGAGTCAGTTGCAGGAGCGGGGAAACTGGAGGCCCCTGTGCCGCCTCCATAGAGACGGGCCTGGGCACCTGGGAGCCAGCTACAGGAGCTGGGACATTCTCAGCCCCTGTGCTGCTGCCATAGCCACGGGTCTGGGCATCAGGGAGTAGGCTGCAGAGTCAGCTGCGGGACCGGGACACTAGAGGCCCCTGTGCTGCTGCCATAGTAATGAGCCTGGGTGCTTGAGGAGGCGGCTACTAGAGCCGGGACATTCAGCAGTGGTAGGCGACCAACGCAGGGACCAGTGTGAGGACCAGCATGAGAGTAGGTGGAGACGAAGAACATCAAGAAACTTCAAGGAGTCTGCACCACTGAACTTCACAAGGATCATACCACAGAAGTTCACACCATAAACCCAGGGTTTCAGAACAGATCAATTTTAGAAGCTGAGACTAACAAGAAGAGTCTCAAACAATGGGAAGACAAAGAAACAATCCCCAAATGAAAGAAAAAGCAGAAACTTCAGAAAGAATGTTAGATGAAATAGAGGCT